GGTGCAGAGCTGGGACTGGTCCCAGCTGCCCAGGACTGGGACTGGGGTTCCTGGATGGTTCCCAGTGAGGTGGAAGACACTGATGGAGGGAAAGGCCAGTTCCCACAGCGGGTGTGTTGGCGTGGGGGTTGCACAAGCTGGGAGCCCAGAGGGAGGTTGGGAAGGTCACCAGGAGATGCCAGGCGGGACCAGCCGGCTCCCTGACACCCCTCAACCATACCCTGCTTCTCAGGGGACAGCTTGGCTGCACCCCTCCTTGGAAACATAATCCAAAGCCACTGCCACCAGCCCTGGGGGTGACACTGCTTCCCAGGGGGATGACACCCAACAGTCACCCCAGCAGCTGGGGTTCCCTGGGGGTGCCACATGGCAGGGATCACTCCAGCATGGTGACAGGTTGTGGCACGATTCTGATCCTGGATCTGGCCCTGGGAGGGTGTCACCACCTCGGTGTCCTTTGCATGTCCCACCACTGGGCTCATGGAGCTACTTTTGGTCAAGCCACCCCCTCACCCCACTCAGGGAAGGGGAGCACTGGCTCCAGCAGCCTCCTGTCCCAACCGCCCCGTCCCCAGTTTGGCCATGGTGGGGGGGTCGGTCCCCACTCACCCCTGCCCCCCTCTACCTTCCAGGACAGGACTATGGACTCTCCCGCTCACCCCCTCAGTTCGGCTCCATCTACCACGTCCGAGGTAAGGGGACCACCCCAGTGCCCTTTGCCGGGGTGGGGTGCAGAGGATGCTCAGCACCAGGCAGGACCAGGCTGTCCCAGTGCCAAACTGGGGCAGCTTCCTGCAGCTGGTTGCCTCTCTGCCTCAGCACCCACAGGGATGGCAGTTGGGTCTGCATGCTCTATGGGTGCCGAGGGGCTCAGGGAGGGATATCGGGGTGCTGAGGCCACAGGGCTGACCCGTGTCCCTCACAGGTGTCATTAACCTGCCCTATGCTGAGATCGAGGAGCCCTTCGAAGCCTGGTACAACCTGACAGGAAACAAGAGCCGCATCCAGTATTATGGGGGTAAGCGGGTGGGCACCCATCTGCTCTGTGCCCATCACACATCAGCCCCATCCCTGTGCAAAGGGAAGATGTGGGCAGGACCACCGTGCCTCAGTTTCCCCTTCCCGCTGGCACAGGGCAGGTGATAACCTACCAGCTGGCATCAGTGAAACCCTACGGGATGCGGTACAAGATCACACCAGAGACCACTGAGAAGGAGGTAAGGAGGTAAACACCAGGAAATGCTTCCAGCTCCCTGGTTCCAAGGAGGACGTGGTCAAAGCTCAGAGTGTCTTCCCCAGTATGGATGGTTTCAAGGTGGGAAACACCGGAGCCTGGATCCAACCCACTGCCTGGAGCATCTTCAGGCTCTGGGTGGGGGTGCTGGGCAGCTGGAGATGCTCCTTTCCATCCCAGGGGGTGCAAGGTGCTGGGACAGGCCAGGACATGTCCCTATACCCCAGGGTGTAGGGAGGGTCACTTCTCCACCCAGCTCAGGGCCGGACTCCCGGCTCCTTTCCCAACCCCAGCAGCCATGCTGGGACGTGCCACAGCCCACACGAACGCTGGCGTTTCGGGATGGTTCGGGCAAGTCACTGCACGATGGCTCAGCT